ACTGCATCATACCTTGCCAACCACTTCCACGTCCTGCATGATGTCTGGGTGTGCACTCATTGTAAAGTCTATTTCGTTCTTATTTTCGCCATTAGGGCTTCTCCATGTCCCCTTGCGGTTTCCTCGTTTTCGGTAGAAGGTATTCAATATCCATAAATTATTGCGTTCTGTGAATTCTAGTAGTATCTCTCCTCTGGCGTTTCTAGTACCGATGCCATAATCTCCTACTGCCTGGTATCCAGCCTGCTTCCCTACCTTGGCATTAAAGTCTCCCATAAGTATAGTATACTGTGTTTTTACCTTACTCATTGCCGATTCCACGTCTTTATAGAAGCTTTCAACTGAAGCATCATCATGGCTGGATATAGACGCGTAAACCTGTACCACCTTCATCTTGTATCTCTTATTAAGTTTAATTACAATACCTACCATCCTTTCATTAATGCTATAGTATTCCTCTATGTTACCAGCTATGTTTCTGTGAATTAGGTAGCCCACTCCCAGTTCTCTTCTGTCAGCCAAGCCCCGATAGCAAAGGACGTGCCCATTCTGTAGCACTGTACTCCTAACCTGTCCTCCTAACCTCACTGAGCACTATTATATCCCATTTAACGCCCTCTAGCTCCTCGGATAGTACAGCAAGATTTCCCTCACTAGATAAGGTTCGAGCGTTAAACGTTGCCAAGTTCATGTTCCAACGGTGGCCTGCCCGGATCAAGGGATTCTTAGCACCCTCTGCTGCGTTGCAGATCTGACCTCCGCCGTGGTCAGTTGCTTCGCAGCTGCTGGGGACTGAGGTCCGTGAGTTAATTGACGTGTGCATGTAGGAGGTAGTGGCCAGATACTGCACCAGGGTGGCCAATCCTTCTGTGGTGAGGGAGTGCGTTACCGGTGGTGGTCACTGGTGAGGCCGCACCCCAGGCCTCTTTATGCAGTTCTATCACCACGCGGATTTTTTTTACTCTAACCACTACGCCATCGCCGCACTACAGATATATATATATATATATATATATATATATATATATATATATATATATATATATATATATATATATATATATATATATATATATATATATGGCACAACGGGAGCGTTGTCACCGAGGATAAATATATTTATTTCCCAACAGTTTCGGGAGGGGTCCTCCCTTCATCAGGGGATGAGTTATACTGACATGAACTTCCAAACTTCGTTGCTGCCGCGTCCCTCTCGCCTTGAAAGATGTTTGCGAGAGTGAGACCAAGGCGGCGGCTTCCAAATGACACGGGGAAACAAAAAATACGGGCAGTCTTGAACACGCTTGGTCCCACTCATTTCTATCGATTAGGAAAATCATTGAAAAGCGGGTGCAATACGAAAAACACGTGGAACAACTAACCAAATATCTATCTCACGAAATTGCACCTAAGGGCCTCCGCCTAGCCTGCAGCCCCTCAATGTCTACACTGAGTGAAGCAGAAAGGGGGAAGTGGGAAAAAATATTACTAGAAGCGTCCTTGCAACTGACTCGGGTCATTGCGGACCATAGTGAGCGTAAGGCCGCCGAATACAGTGTCATGGAGGCCACGCAGAAATTGGTATCTAATCTCGGAGAGCATGAGGCAAGAGAACTGGAAAGATATGAACTAAAGAAGAGAGGCGAAATTTCAGTAGTAAAAGATAGAAAATTCAAGCGGGACTGCAGTAGCTCCACTGCTCTGCAACAGGAAAATAGGAACGAGGCCATACATGAACGCCAGGCACCACCCGTACCACAACCTAACTTTGAGGAGAAAAATGGGAACTCGAAACTACAGTGCAATCCTAATCAAAACATCTTTACTCTCGAATATGACGCCGACACTCCCATGCCACGTGATAGCCGAGAGCAGCCGAAAACTTATGAGAAAAATGTCCTCAATCTGTCAAACACAACACTCACACCCGCTCAGCTTCAACTTTTGTCGAGAGGCTTGACCTTTTGTCCATCATCCGGTTATTCAATGAATTTGAACTGTACCAAGACCTCGATAACTTTGCGCGTAATCTCCACCTCCGTGAATACTTTCATGGTCGCAAGGACTGTACGGACGAGAATAGAGTGATTGGTGGTGACAAATCATGGTGTCCGGGTGAGCAGAGGGACAAACACCTCGATATGTATATATCAGCAGTTCAAAAAAATATCATCAGAGCGTATGAAAAAAAAGACCATTTCGAAACAACATATCAAAGTCAGAACGAAAGGCACTCGATGAACTACGAAAAAACACTGGAATTACTATCAAACCGGCTGATAAAGGGGGCTGCATAGTAATTCTAAACACGTCGGACTACTTAAAGGAAGGGGAACGACAGCTATCAGACACAAAATTCTACAAAGAACTTCCAACGGATCCGACTCCCGAATTTGAAAGGGAGATAAAAGTAACCCTAAACAATCTCCGCCGGGACGAGAAAATTACCGGCAAAATGTTAAAAGCAATGTTACCGGCCCATTCTGTTCCCGGTCGATTCTATTTGCTCCCCGAAATACACAAGGCAGGTCATCCGGGACGTCCGATAGTATCCAGTAACAGCACATACAGAAAATATATCAGAATTCATCAATTCCTTAATAAAAAACATCCCCCCAAATTTTCCCTATTACCTAAAGGACACAAACCACTTCATCTGCGAAACTTCAAGTCTCGACATCCCAGGCGGCAGTTTTCTGGTGACCATGGACGTCTGCTCACTGTACACCAACATACCCAACCATGACGGAATAGCGGCTATGGTTTCTTAATATGTAAAATCTGACTCATCAACTAATGTAAGTGGCGAGGTACTGTTTACACGTCTTGAACATGTACTAAATTATAACCATGGTTCGCCCATGGTTATAACTTGTACTAACTTGTCCTAATTATACGAACTTGTACTAATTATACGAACTTGTACTAATTATAACCATGGTTATAACCATAGTTCGACGATGGTTCGCCAATAAAGAACGGAAAACGATCAACCAAGGGCAATGTACATATCTTACAACGCATTCCCTCAGCGCATGTGCGGTAAGGACGAAATTTTCTGCCGTCTTCTGGCCACTGTTACGTTATATCTCGATAAACCATTGTAAACGGGCAAGTATTTCAAAGGGAGAGCTCGAAGCGCAGCTCTTTGTGTCGCAAGTAATTATCAAAATAGTGTCACTGGGATTGCATATATATATATATATATATATATAGAACTAGAAGGGAAGGCACGACAGGTCCGGGTATTTTCTATATTGAAATAACTTGAAGATAGCACATAAGAAAAGGATCGTATTTACTAACGTTTCGGCCGTGGCACGGCCTTCGTCAGAGTAAGTAGGTATGATACAATGCAGCCGCTTTTATAGGCTCACGTGATGAACTCTCGGTATTGCAGCTAGGACAATCAAAGTAAAAAATGGTAATCTGTCAGGACCTTGTGTTGACATGACTGACATGTGACGGGTGCATGAATATAAAAGTTTCAAGTTTCCTTGCGCATCGACACGTGGGGCACAGTATGGTTGGCAGCACATGTAAAAGAGCTCAGAAGTAAGAACCACGGTTGACTAATATACAATTTAATATACACTAAAATATTTTACTAATCTAAGAAGTCGTGTTGTTATAGTGCGAGGCAGGTGAGCTTTCCTACGTTTTCATTGATACCTGAACGAATGGTGTTAATTTGTGGATCAAGAAGGATTCCCTCACTTCCCCTATCGTGATTTGTCTTAAAACCGGACTGAATAATCGTGGCCCTAATTTGTCGAAACCATGGCCAGGCATACTGACGTGCTTCGACAGCGGTAGATTAGGGAGGCTTACGGCATGTGCACGGTGATTATTAAAACGAATTCTGAAACTTGTCTCTGTTTGAACCTATGTACTGAGCACCGCAAGTTGAACACTCGAGAAGATAGATGACGCTGATACTATCACACGTGTAGTTCCCATTTATCTTTAAAGAAAAACTCCTACTGCCTGGTATCCAGCCTGCTTCCCTACCTTGGCATTAAAGTCTCCCATAAGTATAGTATACTGTTTTTTTACCTTACTTATTGCCGATTCCACGTCTTTATAGAAGTTTTCAACTGAAGCATCATCATGGCTGGATATAGACGCATAAGCCTGTACCACCTTGAACTTGTATCTCTTATTCAGTTTAATTACAATACCTGGCACCCTTTCATTAATGCTATAGTATTCCTCTATGTTGCCAGCTATGTTTCTGTGAATTAGGAACTCCACTCCCAGTTCTCTTCTGTCAGCCAGACCCCGATAGCCAAGGACGTGCCCATTCTGTAGCACTGTACTCCTAACCTCACTGAGCCCTCATATCCCATTTACCGCCCTCTAGCTCCTCGGATAGTACAGCCAGACTTCCCTCACTAGATAAGGTTCTAGCGTTAAACGTTGCCAAGTTCAAGTTACAATGGCGGCCTGTCCGGATCCAGACATTCTTAGCACCCTCTGCTGCGTTGCAGATCTGACCTCCGCCGTGGTCAGTTGCTTCGCAGCTGCTGGGGACTGAGGGCCATGAGTAAATTGACGTATGCATGTAGGAGGTAGTGGCCACATACTGCACCATGGTGGTCAATCCTTCTCTGGTGAGGGAGTGCGTCACCGGTAATGGTACACTGGTAAGGCCGCACCCCAGGCCTCTTTATGCAGTTCCATCACCACGCGGATAGTCTTTAATTCGGTTAAGAACTGACCTTTTGCATGAGAGGCAAATGCTCTAACCACTACGCCATCGCCGCTCACTATATATATATATATATATATATATATATATATATATATATATATAATATATATATATATATATATATATATATATATATATATATATATATATATATATATATATATAAATATATATATATATATATAAAGGGCTGTCATTTCTGTCGTTGACAGAAATGAGAGCCCTTTATATTTTAGTTTAGCTCGCTCTCTGAACAGTTACGACATTCAATCTCTATTTAATGTACCTGTGCCAAAATCCACCGTCGTATAGGCGCCATCAAGCTTCCCACATTTCAAGTATTTGTCATTGTCGCCGTCCGTCGTGTAGAAGATAACGTCATCGCCCAAGTAGTGGCGCATAATGTCACGTAGATAGGCAGTGTATACGTAATCACACGCTGCATAACTACCGTATTCGTTTTCCACCTGGTAATCGTGTGAAGAAAATGGGATAAAAATGTAAGTTGCAAAAGATAATACTCCATATCGATAAAGGACAAGCAGTAGCGACATGAAGCATTACATATATGCATATAGATGTGAGTTTCAGAAAATAAATGTGATGTTAGTTTTATAGCAAAAAAAACAAATTAGGCGCAACAAACAGAAAAGATGCGTGGAACAGGCCCACGTCCTCTCGTACTTTGCCCGTTCTTACATTCCCTCATACAGCCAGCTTCTTTAGTTTGCTTTAAGGAAGCCTTCATTCTGCCTTTCAACACAGTGTTTTCAAAGGGCACCAGCAAAGTATGATATCTTCCATACCATCCCCTAGAAAGTAATCGTGAAGGTAAGAAACACATACCAGGAACACTTGGCTTGGTTATTTTCAATATGTCACCAAATTCATATCACTCACAAAAATGTATTCTGCTGAGCACTAATGTGATGACCTTTCTCACTTGTTTTCACTCTCATGCATTCATCGTCGTCACCAGTTTTGAGGGATCTCGTTGAGCACTTTGAACGCCGAGGTGCTTTGTTAACATCCCCAAACCCTCTGGCCACAAGTGCATTTTATTACATAAACAGGATGTGCACACAAGTAACTGCACAATGTCTCAGTATACTCACCTGAACAGCAATGACAGGTCCTCCGTTGGCGTACAGTAGAGGATGAATGAGTGGTAGAAGCTTAGAAAAGTATCGATGCACATAATCGAGGTAACCTGTCAACAATGAATATTCGCTTTATATAAACACGTCGATGCAAGACAAGCGATGTGTCTCGTAAGAATAAATATGCCACCAAATTCTGTTTGGCTGGTAGAGCTGATCAACAAGCTCCATAAGTGCACATCTTTTAAATAAGCAACATGTTTTATCATAATTACTCATAAGTTGATGCTCGTTCCTTTTGTAAGTCACTGTTATAACTTAAGTAATATAGTGTAGTTTAGCTGTTAGGCTTCTGTGCTGTGCGCGCATATCTATGACTTCGGAGTTCATGACAGGCGCCTAGTAAGGCTTTTTCCTATTACATGAGCATCACAGAAATTAACATTTACCGCCAACAATCGGTGCAGTGCCGCGCTCACTTTACTTTCTTGCTTGGACGCATCTTCACTAACAGCGCGACCGAAATAACAAGGACACCTGCAGGCGATAGTAGCTCGCGTGAGTCTTCACATGGTGCTTTTCTACGCATATCTTCTGGCATGTTTTAGGCGCATCTAGGTCTCGAAAAAACAGCTCGTTTGTATAACCTTTCGTTGCGTATTGCTTTTTCAGAACATTGCACAAACTGTATCACACCTCCAGGAGCAAGGAGAAGATTTCCTGATATGTCACAACAATGATGTCCTCAGACAAAAAATAGCTGCGACAATTTTGCCAAATACATACACACACACACACACACACACACACACACATATATATATATATATATATATATATATATATATATATATATATATATATATATATATATATATATATATATATATATATATATATAACCAACATTCTCTTCCAGGGCTCTTACCGTCTCCCCCCTCCACGAATAGCTGAGCTTTTTTTTATTATTTCACTATCTTCCCTACTCCACCTACTGCAGGAAACAATGCTACATGTCATCACAAATGTCGAGACAAGCTCCGTTTTCAAGAACGCCGTTTTTAGTGTTCAGATAATCCCCTTTTGGCAGGTGGCCAATGACAGGTAACCCGATATGACAGTCTCGCTGGAAAGACGCCTGTCATTACGCTATGGAAGTGGTGTGTGGGCTGCTCTTCGGAGAGGGTTTGGAGATTGTTGGAGTCAAAGACAAGCTGACATGAGAAGTGATCGAAACTTTCGAAATCTTCAATACAGGATAACGCGCGTTCCTCACTGCACCGATAAAGGCCACTGATGCTCAAGAACTAACGAGCCCGGCAACGAATCTTGCGAAGCTTACGAAATCGATCGTGATAAAGGCGATTGCGTAAGCACGCCTTGCGTGACATCCTTAAAAAAAGAAATTGAGTATCTCGATGCAGCCATCACACAATGATGAGTGTCGTTTATCTTTTTTTTTGTATGGAATGTAAAGTCTCTCACTGATTCAGCTTACACTGGATGTTTCAAGAAATGTGTACAAAATCATCGGAAATCAAGAAAGTGCGATATTTGCTTGATTCGTCCATAATTACTTCTTTTGCAGGCGCAGGCATCTTCAAATGGCTAAAGACAACACCTTGGACAGTACTTCGGCGAGTCAAATTAACAAACTTTTAGTTAGCAGATTTATGTGGTTATGCCAAGTATAACTGAAGTCCTTCAGGCAAGTAATCCTTTCTAACTTTGAGACTTCAAAAAAGAGGCTGCTTGAGATAATTGAGACGCGATGAATTTCAACCAAACTCAGCCGTGAAATCTGAACCGGAACGCTCAAGAACTCAGCTCACATATTCTTTTGAGACGTCTTAAGTGAGTGAGCGTTGATATATAAACCAACTTTTTTGTGTAGGCGTGCATGCTCCGCTTGCAGTTATATTACGCACGTCGCACACACGTCAACTAACGCGAAAGAACTACACCTCTGTAATTGATGTCTTGAACAGTGACGTCATTCTGGTCGTCTGCTTGTTGCACTTATAGGTACTTCTGTTTCGGTTTCCCCGTTGAATCTGACCAAGTTTAATTACTTCGTAATTATTACTACAGGCCGAATTTTCGACGCCTCGAAGCTGCAATGGATTCTTCGCATGAAATGCTTCAATTCTCTCATTTAGGCATAAACACGTAACTTCACTAATTATAAAATTAATTAACTTAACTTCGTAATACGATCGTCTTGAGATGCATGTCACTACAAAAGAAAAAGTAATCGTGGAGGCAGCGAGCAGCGGTAACATTTTCGTGGTTGACTTTTCGTGATAACACATTTAACACATGACATTTTCGTGATAATTGACATTTTCGCGACATTTTCGCAACATTTTCGTGATAAACACATTGCTTGAAACACCCTGTACATGTGTTGCCCCTTTCATTAAACTATCAGTCAGTTCGGCGCTGGGATTCTGTTTTTATTTTTTTCTAGATTTTAAGACCACCTCTGTGCGCTGTAAACCTTTCTAATATGCTGTGCGAACTAGCCCACCAAGCTATCCTCGAGGACTATGTGAAAGTTCCAGTCCTTGAATGCACACCAATCAATTAGTTTGATGAATGTTTGAAAGGTTCGCTTGAGTTCTTGGGCAATCGAAGGCTGCGGGTCCCACCGTCTGCAAGGGTATTTGATTCCCCATTTTAATGCATTTAAATTTGTCATAGTCACTACGCTACATTTAGAAAACAGCCTGTAATATCACCTGTGCTTTCCTTGGCTTGATTGTCTGCTGGTTTCATTAGTTCACACGTATTATTTATAACGCAAAAGTGACACATAATAATATGTTCTTCGTGAACATGGAATGGGTTTGTTCATTAACGTGCCAAGCGAGGATTCGCTTCACCTACATTTAAGATATTTTTATCTTACGTGGGTCACTGGTTCGGAGGCCTATTGAACGGTCCGCCGACAGCAACCAGTAAGGCAGGCCCCCCTGAAACAAGAATAAAAGAAAAACGTGCAGCAGAGACAAGTGATCATAGTATGTTAGGTTGAGCGTCCCAAAATGATTATGAGCGACGCCGTAGTTGAGGGCTCCGGAAATTTCGACCACTATGGGTTCTTTAACGTGCACCCAGAATCTGAACACATGGGCCTACAGAATGTTCGCCTCCGTCGAAAATGCAGCCGGGATTCGATCCCTGCGACCTTCGGGTAAGAAGTCAAGCGCCAACCACTAGACCACCGCAGCAGGGCGCAGAGACAAGTATATGGAGACCAGACGCACATTGGCCTTAATGAAATTCCAAGAACTTCTAGGTACAAAATCACCGCAGAATAAGGACGGGTAGGTGTGCCTAACGGTAAACATTCTTGAGGTCTGACTGGCAATTGATATGATTTACAGGAGCGCCCCGTCACGGTGGTCTAGTGGCTAAGGTACTCGGCTGTTGACCCGCAGGTGGCGGGTTATGATCCCGGACGGCGGCGGCTGCATTTGCGATGGAGGCGGAAATGTTGTAGGCCCGTGTGCTCGGATGTGGGTGCACGTTAACGAACCCCGAGGAGGTCCAAATTTCCGGAGCCCTCCACTACGGCGTCTCTCATAATCATATGGTGGTTTTGGGACGTTAAACACCACATATCAGTCAATCAATCAATGATTTACAGTAGCGGAAAGTGTATGAACACTGCATTTTGCCGCTTCTAACGCATTGGGTCACAACATAAAGAATAACAAAAGATTCATTCTAAAAAACAGGGTGTGCAAACACGGACGCGAGAAAGAAGTCAAGACACCACAAATCTCTTAAACTCCCACGGGGGCAGGATTGAAAGGTTCGTCTATTGCATGGGCTTGCGCAGATAAGGTTTTGTGCCTTCTGTCCTTTTCCGCCTTTGTTAGTCGGCCCTGTCTTCACTTCCTTGTTGTTTCCATGTCTCTTGGAATGGGCACTTAGAAACTAGCCAAGCTCTCTATTACAACAAACGAATTCGAAAAGAAGGAAAGAATCACACAGCGTGGGATGAAACGAAAGATGAGTTCAAGAGAGAAGAAGACAGCAAAGTCGATCAAAGATAAAACAGAACCAATATTCTAGTTGACATAAAGAGTGAGGGGGGATGAACACGGGTATGATGACGTCATAAAAGGGACAAAGATAACCGATGGTCAGTTAGAGTGGTGGAGTGGATATAAAAAGGTGTAAAGCGCGGTCATCACGGATAACGGAGGGGCAGCTGACGTGTTGAAAAGCTTTCGGGCATAAAATGAAATCAGCTCACGGAGGGCAGCGTAATTTTGAGGTTATTGGGAGAAGCCTTCAGTCGCAATAAACATAAGATAGCATTACGATGATGATCATGATGATAACGACGAGGACGATCAACAAGCAAAAATCTGCGTACACATAAATAGACTGTTGACATATTAAGTCGCTCCCCAGTTCACTGCTATTTATACCAGATTTCCACAAAATGTCTTAGTTTATCAAAAAAGCACTAAAGAGATTGATAATAAAGAGTTCCACAGCAAATATCTGAAAGAACTCAGAAATATATGATGTTCAAGAAGGACAAGAATTTTCGTGACCTTGATAAAAGATTTGTCCAGTTGGCCAGCGCTTGAACTTGTCAAAGTTCCGCGCGTGCGCTGCTGAGGAATAGACCCCACTGCATTCTTGATAACAAGCTCGATGGAGAACGCGTATAACGACCAGCCATGCACATTCCGAGAATGCCTATAGTATATGGTCACGATGAGTCACAAGTACTGTGGGACTTATTAAACCACCAGGTAGCTAGCACTAGGACGATGCGTCAGTCGTGGCTGGCTCTCGAGCAAATAAGCAAGCGATCTTCTTTTTTCCTCCAGATTGAGAGCCGCTCTTGCTGTCAACCCACTACGTGCTGGTGGCATTATCCCCCCTTCCGAAAAGAAAAAAAAAGAAGTACCAAAAAGAGGAAAGGAAAGTGAATAGCAGCACCGCGATGCTACTACATAGGCACGTGAAAAAAATTGGAAATTCGGATGAAGTGAAAGTAAAAATTGAAGAGCGTGCCAATATAGGAAACGTCAATGAACGAGAAAGTATGTTCACAAAATAAACAAAAAACACAAAGAACGCTGTACGGTAAAGGAAAAGATACGAACAACGCACAATAAATGATTTCATGCGCAACACATGAACAACGTCCGGCCTCAGCCGTGTCCTGCTCCGTGCATGGGGTGTTGAGTACGGAACCACTTCGTAGTTCACGTCACTGACGCGGCGTAACACTTTATATGGGCCAAAGTACCAGCTCAGCAACTTTTCACTAAGGCCACGGCGGCGGACGGGCGTCCACACCCAAACTTGATCTCCGGGACTGTAAAACACTTCTCTGTGGCGGGTATTATAGCGTCGTGCGTCTGCCTGCTGTTGCTGGCCGATGTGCAGTCGCGCGAGCTGCCGGGCTTCCTCAGCACGCTCTGCGAATTCTTCAGCGTCAGTTGCCAACTCGTCTTCGTCCTGACACGGTAGCATTGAGTCTAGCATGGTCTGCACTTCGCGGCCGTAGAGAAGCCGAAATGGCGTGAATCGCGTTGTCTCTTGCACGGCGGTATTATACGCGAAGGTCACGTAAGGTAAGATACGGTCCCATGTTTTGTGCTGTACGTCGATGTACATTGAGATCATGTCTGCGATGGTCTTACTCAGTCGTTCGGTAAGTCCGTTGGTTTGCGGGTGGTACGCAGTTGTCCTTCGGTGTCTGGTGTTGCTCAGTTTGAAAACTTCGTCCGTAAGCTGCGCCGCGAATGCCGTCCCTCTGTCCGTTATTACACTGGAAGGAGCACCGTGTCGTAACACGATGTGGCGCATGAAAACTTGTGCTACCTCAGAAGCCGTGGCTCGTGGGATCGCCTGGGTTTCAGCGTAGCGTGTCAAATAGTCGGTCGCGACGATCACCCATTTGTTGCTGTCCGCAGACATAGGAAATGGCCCGAGAATGTTTATGCCGACTTGGTCGAACGGCGTGCAGGGTGCTTCAATAGGCTGAAGCAAACCAGCTGGCTTAACAGATGGTTGCTTTCGGCGCTAACATTCCCGACCGCTCTTGACGTACTTCTTTACGCTTGCTGACAGTCCTGGCCAATAGTACCTCTCGCTCACTCTGGCAAGTGTCCTTGAGTAGCCCAGATCACCGGATTTGGGTTCGTCATGGCAAGCGAAAAGGACGTCGTCTCGCATGTCTCGAGGAACCACCAGGAGGTAAGCACGATTGTTCTAACGAGCGTTCTTCTTGTACAGCACACCGTCTCGCAGGCAGAACGACGTCAACGAGCGACATAAATGACGTGGTATGATTGCGCCCTGGCCTTATAAATGATCAATGATTGGACGAATCTCTGCGTCATCTCGCTGTCGTTCTGCTCAAGTCTGATGCACTAACGGCGCCCAGAAAGCCTTCGTCTTCCGCTGCTTACTGACTGACGACATGAAGGGGTGCGCGTGACAGTGTGTCAGCGTCTTCATGCTTACGGCCGGACTTATGGACGATGGTGACATCAAATTCCTGCAGCCGCAAGCTACACCGTGCTAGCCGACCTGAAGGGTCGCGCAGGCTTGCCAACCAACAGAGCGCGTGATGGTCCGTCACTATCTTGAAGGGACGACCATAAAGGTACGGGCGGAACTTGGTGATTGCCCACACGACTGCGAGGTACTCTTTCTCCGTAGTGGAATAATTCGCCTCGGCACGGGATAGAGAGCGGCTTGCGTAGGCTATCACTCTTTCGATGTCCTCTTGACGCTGAACGAGCACTGAAGCGAGCCCAATGTTACTAGCGTCGGTATGGACCTCCGTGTCAGCATCATCGTCGAAATGAGCGAGAACGGGCGCTGATTGCATGCGCTGTCGCAGCTCATCAAAAGCTGCTTGTTGTTCGTTTTCCCAGACAAACGGCGTGTCGTTCCTTGTGAGACGAGTCAGAGGTTCTGCTATCTGTGAAAAGCCATGAATTAATCGGCGATAGTAGGCGCACAAACCAAGGAAGCGCCGGACGGCTTTCTTATCGACAGGAGCTGGTAATTCGGCAACAGCGGCAAGCTTGTCTGGATCGGGACTGATTCCTTCGGCGCTAACTACATGTCCAAGAAATTTTAGTTCTTTATAGCCGAAGTGGCACTTCTGTGGCTTTAGTGTGAGGTCCGCCGATCGGATAGCCTCCAGCACGCTGCGCAGGCGGTGAAGGTGCTGCTCGAACGTGGTAGAGAAGACCACCACATCATCGAGGTAGACAAGACAAGTCTGCCACTTGAGCCCTGTGAGGACAGTGTCCATCATTCGCTGGAAAGTTGCCGGGGCTGAACACAAGCCAAAAGGGAGCACTCGAAATGAGTATAGGCCGTCTGGAGTCACAAAGGCTGTTTTCTCACAGTCTCGCTGATCTATCTCGATTTGCCAATACCCGCTTTTGAGATCGAGAGAAGTGAAGTAATGGGCACGACGAAGTCTATTCAGCGAATCGTCGATACGTGGCAGCGGATACACATCCTTTTTCGTCACGTTATTAAGCTTTCGGTAGTCGACGCAGAAGTGTAGCGACCCGTCCTTCCTTTTGACAAGTACGACTGGAGATGACCACGGGCTGTTAGATGGTTCAATAACGCCATAGTCAAGCATCTTGGTGACTTGCGTACGTATCGCTTCACGTTCTTTGGCCGACACGCGGTAGGGGTTCTGGTGTATCGGACGTGCGTCCTCGTACGTGATGATCCTGTGTTGAGTGACGGCACGTCTGGCGGATCTTTGAGCAAGTTGCGAAGCAAGAGCTGAACTCGAACAAGAGCGCTCGTAGCGCAGTCTGGTTAACGGTGGACAGATCAGGACTGATGTCAATATCACTCATTGACGTGTCGGCGGTATCCACTATTTCCGACTGTGAGACAGTTGGTGACGTTTGCTACTTCGTGGGCAAACGCTATCGAAGTGCCACAGAAAAGATGTCGATGCTCAGTCGCTAAAGTTGGTTACGAGCAATTGAGATCGGCCATCACGAAGGTGTATTACACTTCTAGCTACACAAATGCTTTGCTGCAGGAGGTGTTCTAAATTTGTCTCAGCCACCACATCGCCATTCGCCCAAACCACAGCACGTTACGTCGACTAGAACACTTGTTCGTGGAGGAAGCGTCACACTCTGTTCAGAAATACGGAGTACGTCGACACGCCTTCCACCATCCTGCACGTTAATTGTTCGCTGGGCTGAGAACGTGACGCGGCGCTCTTGCAGATCAATAATAGCTCCATTTTCTTGTAGAAAGTCAACATCCCAGAAAGATGTCACGGGAACATTCGCGTAGAACAAGGCAGCTTGCTACGAATGTGTACCCTTGAATCTGTACTCTAGTTGTGCAGGTACCCAGTGGAGTAACGATGTGACCACCAGCTGTCCGAATCTGCGAGTTATGCCACGGCGTGATGACTTTCTTCAGCTGCGTTGTCAGTTTCCCGTTCTGTATGGAATAGTCTGCGCCGGGGTCCACTAACGCATTAACTGCACAACCATCAATTGTCACTGCTATGTCGAGTGAAAGTCGGCCATCCTTTGCAGCAGTATGTGATGTCGGACCGATTTCTGTACAGTTCTGCGTCAATAGGAGGTCTTCAGCGCTTCGACGGTCAGCGATCTTGCCCCCAGACGTCGCTTGGGCTAGTTTTCCCGGCGGGGGCTGGGAGACCGTGTGGTAGAATACCGCTGGGGCGTTGATGAAAATAGCCTCGGTGATGGCGAGCGGGACTGGCGCCCGGCAGATGGTGGTGCATGCTGCTGGGAGAGGTAGTTTTCGATGTCGCGCGGTCTCTGGCTGTAACGGGGTGGCGGTGAGTACGCAGAGAAGCCGCGAAGCCCAAGACGGCGATATGGGCACTGGCGGTATAAGTGATCAGCTTCTTCACAGTGAAAACACAGAGGCCGGCGATCAGGTGTGCGCCAAACATCAGACTTTCGAAGAGACGTGCGCTGATCGTCGATGTACTGAACTGGTTGCACTGAACGATGGGCGACAAAAGCACCAGGGACAAAGGCCAACGGTGGTGGCGTGTACGTGCCTTCGTAGTACGTTATGTGCTGCGCTGACTGTAGTGAAACAGCAGTAACAGGATGGATGAATAATGGCGGCGATGCAGCAGGGCGTTTCAAGGCTTCCGCATAAGTTGTCTCACGGCGGTATTCAGCAGGAGCTGGTACAGCTGTATCATGAGGCAAGGTGTCCCGGAGGGCCTGGTGCAGCTCATCCTTGATCACAGTTGCAATAGAGTTAACTGTAGGATGAGGTGTTACACCAGCCTTTTGTAACTCTTCACGTACTATATCACGGATGAGTTCACGTAGACAGTCGTTGTTGGTTCTAGTGGTGGTGAAAATGTCGGCAGTAGACATGCCACTGTCTTGCCTGTCGTTTTGGTTGCATCGCTGCTGCAGCATTTTTTCCATTGTCACGGCCTCGGACAAGAACTCCGCGACCGTCTCGGAGGACTTCGCACGAGGCCGGCAAAAAGCTGGTCCTTGACACCGCGCATCAAGTGACGCAAATTCTTGTCCTCCGTCATTCTTGAATCGGCCCGTCGGAAGAGGCGCGTCATGTCTTCGACGAACGTGGTCACAGTTTCGTTTGGCAGCTGGACGCGGGCCAGAATAGCTCGTTCAGCTCGTTCTTGGCGATCAGCACTGGCATAGGTCTGCAGAAGTCTACGAGAATTCGGGCCACGTCGTCAGCTGCTCCTCTCGATTTTGATATCACGTGCGTGCCCCGTATTCGAGATAGAAGTAGACACGACCCAGTTTCGTCGCGTCGTCTCACTGATTCAAGGTGGCTACGCGCTCGAAATCCGCCAACCAGTCCTCAACATCCTCGTGCTCCGAGCCATGGAACGTCGCCGGTGCGCGTGGGCTTTCCAACGTGTAGCGGTTCGACGTCGTGCTTCCCGTGCCGGTTGCCGAGGTTTGCACCGAAGCGCTGGTCATGTCTGTCGACGTGGTGGGAGCAGTATCGTCGGCTTCCGGAGGCAATCCCCTGATTCGGCGGCTGGTCCGATGCACGGGAGTATTGACTGGCAATGGACTCGTATCGCGGCTTCCGGGGGGGGGGGGGGGGTCTGCAGCATCCGTGAGACTACCCAGCACTTCCACCAGTTTGTCACGATGAGTCACAAGTGCTGAGGATTTATTAAACCACCAGGTAGCTAGCACTAGGACGATTGGCTCTCGAGCAAAGAAGCACGCGTTCTTTTTTTTTCCTCCAGATTCAGAGCCGTTTTTTCTGTCAACCCACTACATGCTGGTGGCAATATAATGTAATGTAAGGCCCTATTCTGTGTGCAGCGCAAGCAACGACTGGAATAGCGGTTCTTGAGTGTAGCTTTAAAACGAATTCCGGCTTCACTGCTTCACTAATTCCCGTCACATCATCGATGCCTGTTAGTGCCGTCTTCTTATTCGTCTCGGTATGAAACTTGCATGTCATGGTTGAGGCGGTTGCAGACCTCCAGTACGCATCTACTACAGTGTCTTATTGTTAAAGTCCGAGCTTGACTGACAGGTTAACATAGAGATGATAAATAGGAGAAGAAACACGTACTAATCCGAAAACAAAAAAAAAACGAATGATCTCTGAGAAGTAAAGTATTCTTTCATTTTGTTTTTAAGGATCGATCAGTGAAACTTAAGATTTAATGACTTTTATCTGAACGACCTGGCTAGCTTTGTTCCTCACTAGTGCATCTTGTTGCATCTCAACCGGCATATGCAAAAAGCATGTACGTTGAGCGCCATTCAATTTCAGCCTGTGGGGTATGTCCGTGCTATAGAGCTGTAAAGCTGTTACTTTGTAAAGCTGAAAGGTGACACGTTGGTTTCTGATTCATCATCATCATCCTCATCATCATCGTCATCTCAATCAGCCTGACTACGCCCACTGCAGGACAAAGGCATCTCACACCTTCCGCCAGTCAATTATGTCCTGTGCTTGCTGCTGCCATTTAATATCCGCAAACTTCCTGATCTAGTCTGCCCACCTGAATTTATGTGTCTCCCTCACCCGCTCACCTTCTCTGGGACTCCAGTCAGTTACACAAATGAAGATCACCCCTCACACAAATGACGCACCACTGACCTGCTAAAGCTAAGTCGCTACGGACGCTCACTGTACATTTAGTGATTTTGGTATCTGGCCGCTATGTGACTTACATGAAAAAGCAAAAAAAAAACTTGCTTCAGCATAGCAGTGTTGCGCCTGTTAAAATATTTCTCTCCCGCCAGCCATTCTACCCTTCTTGTGTATAACACATCTTCGTTCACAAAACGAGGATATCAAAATAAAGGCGACCACGAACACGCGCACCATATCTCTCTCTGAATCAATGTAAGGTCCAGGCCTGAGCAGGACGAGCAGGTCATGCTTCTGCGCCAGCCTCAGGAAGCGGACGATGTCCTGTTGTCCTTGAAAGTTGAACACTCCCTCCTCAGGTTCGTGGCTGCTCCACTCCACGTAGCTGCATCAGACGCAATACACGATGGATCTAAGTACACGTTATATCTCGGAATTTTAATGTATATGTTTTTATCGGGATTTCTCGTATATTATTTACAATTGATTTTAATACTACCACTCTTTCCGAGGCCATAGCAGGTAAGCTTACATGTTGGACATGCAGGTACATAAAAAATCACCACCATATCTCCCAAGTGAAGGATATTAGAAGAGCTTGCTTAAAGATGATCGGGTAATCCGCGAATCATCCGAATACATCTCGCGCCATCCTATAGAGACGCGACAACGTTGTTATATGATATCCCGGGCTGCCACTGCAGGGTCTTGGCGGCGAGCCAGAGCTCCCGGCGAAGAGAAAGAAGGCGTACATGCCGAGAGTTGTGTACGCAGCCATCAGCGGCGGCGGACCATCTAGACATCATTCTTGAAATCACCGAAGAGGATGCCTTGAGCGGCGGCGCGTCATCTAGTGAGTATTGCTCTAATCATGGGAGAGCCAACGCCTTGAGTGGCGGCGTGCCTACTGGTAAGCATTTCTAAAATCACTTGAGAATTGTCATGGCCTCCGAGATGGTGGATGCGCGGCTTATTTCTATCCAGCCGTTCTAATCGCACGGAGAGCGTGTTTCCAGAGGTGGGCGTACCCCGCTCTTTTTTTTTTTGCACCGCGGTGCATGTGACGAGAAAAAAAAAGGGATTTTGCGCCTTTATGTAACCTCGCGCTGAATTGGAAATCTCTGGTGAAGGTGTACGGGAGGCAAAGTCAGTACTGAGGCGTAGCCAATATATTTTCTCAAATGGGCAGTTTTTTTTCTATAGATTTGCGCTTCCCATATTTATTTATTTATTTATTTATTTATTTCAAAGTACCTTACAGGCCCCATGGGGGGCATTGAGTAAGGGGGGCTGTACATATATACAAATAAACTGGAAAAAAATATACAAGACAGACAATTGAGCAAGGGGGGAATACATATAGACACCTCAAAATGAAAAAAAGTACAAAAGAAACAATTGAGTAAGGGGCGCAATACTTATATACATCTCAAACTAAAACAAATACAAAAGAAACAATTGGAAAATAATAAGTCAAACAAGAAGCACCAACATGTACAAAAGTTCAACATGTACAAAAGATACACGCATAGTAACCGTGGGCGAAACACTGTATTTCCTGCGCATGCAGCGGCCACAAGGCAGAATCCTCGCGCACATGAATGTGACAATCACAAAAATGATCCAATACGGACCAAAGAATTATGATACGGCATCTACTTGCTGAGGCATGTGAAGTGGCTTGATAAGATATGACGGAATGTGTCAAAGTTTGTCTGGGATGCAGTGTCGTCAGGCAAACTGTTCCACAGACGGATAGCACGTGGAAGTGCGGACTGATTGAACGTGTTTGTTGAGCCGTATACACGGGAATAGCTAAGATGATTGTGTAGTCTACGTGAAGTGAGATATGGTTTTTGCAGACCAGTAACGGTGATTCGGGAAGAATGGGTAATTTTATGAAAGAATGACAGCAGGGCAATATTAGAGCACTCATAAGTGCGATATGCCTCAAGAGATGTACATATGAAGAAAACTTGATATACTTCGAAGTTTGTGGGCTGTATAGTGTGGGGGACAATAGCGAAGACAAAAAAAAAGATGACAGCGTGATCCGCAATTGAAGTGAGAAGAGTGCCGCGTTCTACACCCACGGGTTACACTCGATTAAGTGCCTTTTTCTTTCCTTTCATGGAACTATGCTCGTTTTCATTGTAACGCTGCTTTAAGAATTTTTGCAGATGCGTTGATGTAATCCCCGCTGGTGCAAAAGCCGCGTTCTCACTGTGTACAACGATTCACACTCGCCCGCGAGGAAAAAGCCGGAAAGAGAGTAGGATCAAGGCGGTCGCCGTACGTCTATAGACTGAAGTATACGTCGCCGCGACGACCACAGGCTGGTTACAGGTGCGTTTTTGGTCACTTATGGCCACCCATTCGCACTGGAAGTTTTGCGCTGTTCAGTGGATACGTTAAGTGGTGTAAGAACGAACATCAAAATTCCTTGCTTGTTGAAAAATAATGCAACACACTTTCAAAGTTTGGTGAACCTAGTATGAAAACATCACTCCTTATATAGCAGTGACGATTTGCACTTTTTCTTTCTTCAGTAGTCTACCTCAATGAATACTTAGTTTCTCCAGAAAGACACACTTCTGCTGCATGTGTGAATGTCCCTTTGATTTGGATGCAGTCAAGAGTGAAATAAATGAACACGATACTGATATTGACATTATGCTACCAAAGCATAATCTATACACATGTGACAAAAAAGGAGACTGCGACTACTCAGGCACTTTTACTGTGAAAGACGTTGGGAGTAAATGCAGGTCGGCTAATCGAAGACTTTGGCAATATTCGTGCAAAATACTTATCACCTTACTTCAGTGACATGTCCAGGGCACTCAGTTATTTAGATTGTAACTGGGCTTCGGTTGACCACCTCGTGTATCCGTGCACGATGAAATAGTAAAACGATGTGTCACAGGAGGGCAATACTATTCAACGACATTAATTTGCCTACTTTTCGCCCATACACGTCTCTAGAAGGGAGATCTAGAGAACGTCTACTTTTCTCAAATAGAGGTATTTAGCACCGAGCCAAAACGGACCGTAATGAAAAAAAAAGTAATGCCGCCACAGATGAATTGAAATCTCCTTGCAATGTTCTCTATCAGGAAATGCAATGTTCTCTATCATACGGTGCAAGTCGCCCACGCAAGCCGAGGAGTTTGCAATCGCACTGGCACTAGCGATCCCGGATTGCCGCACGGTCCTCAGCGACTCGAAGACGGCAATAGCCAACTTTGCTACAAACAACGTCCATGGAACCACTGCAAGAGTATGTTCAACTATAGCAAGACCAGAAACCAACATTACCGTCAAGTGGTTCCCTGCGCACGCCGGGGAGCTGGACGTGGGCCCGAACCGCAACGAGGAGGCAGATACGGAGGCACACGCGCTAACTAGCCGCGGGTCTCTGTCAACGCATTCCTCGGAGCCGCAACGACCCGATGCCGAAGACAGAGAGTATTTTATCGCAACCTACGCCGACGTTCTGCAGTGGTACAGAACGAGCAGACGCCTCTACCCACCGCCTCACCGAGACCTACAACGCAGAGAAGCAGCCACACTACGGCAGCTGCAAGTACAAGCAATATGGACCCCCGTCTGGGCAAAGCACGTTTGCCCGGAGGTTTACACCACTGATGTATGCCAACACTGCAAGAAGGCACGAGCCACTCAGAGACACCTCCTTTGGGACTGTGCACCACCGCCGGGTAACCAAGAAGTAATGCCAACTGCCATAAGCAGCAAAATCACCAGCCGAGAGCCAGGCAATCAAAGAGACGTGGTCCAGCACGTGCTTAGCATCCTGGAACGCCAGCGGCCGAAAGCGGCGCCTCCACGGGTTTTACGCGAGTAGGTTGCTGCTCCGGGACGTCCGAGCACGCTAGTGTCTCGCTTTAATCCCCCTACCCTTTCCCCCTTTATGCCGGATCGTCAATAAAGTTGTTTCACTCACTCAGCTCTATCAGGAAAAATTAGCAGTTTCCAGGACTTTCTTCGTAAATTGGATCAAAATAAATGCAGCAACAGAAAAAATTCTTGCGTTCAGAGCAGCCAGAAGATTTTTGCGGTGAGTCTTGCTCATTATTACAAAAAAAAAAATCATGCGCACGTTGAAATGCCGTGCACTCTGCTATCTGCCGTGGTCTCCGCCGCCACCAGAATCCACAGTGAATACGCCCTCTCGCGGTAGGCGGGTGCGTGCGGCGAGACTCGTCTGTTTTGCTGGGGAATGCGGCCAATGGGAGAGAAACACGCCGTGCGCCCGCCATCATGAAGCTCATGAAATTTTACACGCCGCCGCCAGACAAGGCGCGAGCATAAAAAGCTTGCCAAACGAGGCCCCCCCCCCCCTACCCATGAAAAAATAGCGAATTGATTGTAGTGCTCAAAAATGTATACAATATAGGTTTCTAAAAGATAATTATGAATCAATATTCAAATTACTTTTGAAAATGTTATATTGAAGTATACACATAAATATACGAATATGCGAGTAATAAAGAAATATGTGCGTAATACACAAATGTAACCAAACGTGTACATGAAATAAAGGGCTATGTGGACAAGTCACTACAAACCAGTAAACATTGTGAACTTGGCTGCTGATATGCTTCCAATAGTCATAAAATGATACGCTTCAAATAGTGATAAAATGAATCAGGGGCTGGAAACGCTACCGTGTTAATAAGCTACTTTCTATTTTTGAGAAAAAGTATGAAATTGAATTCGCGTTAGTAACCGATGGATCTAAACAATTCCACTCACTGACAAAATGTTTGGAAGTGGCATTGTGGTAACTATAGTGCGAGCGATGTGTTTGATTGTGAGTGAATGTTTACTTAGATCATCCACTGTTGACTTGGACTATCCATTTCAAGAATCGGCAAGCTTCGGCTATATATACTCGAACTTAGCTTCCCTGTTCCATGTGGTGTCGAAAAATATTAAAGCTTTTTTTTTTCTGTGAAGAGTGGCACTGATGGTGCAGCTAATGACGCTTACACAGAACTGTCTTCAGCCGTTTCAGCAAACAATGAAAATTGCAACAAACGCATATGCGTGCTTACGCCAATGCTCATGTTCACAGTTCCTAGGCTTCCACAAACTGATTTGAGAAGAACGTTGGCGGACCGTTGGAATAAACTGGCAGTAAAGTTAGTAGACAATTACGGACAAAAATTTAAATGGAAGAACTAAGGTTAGCGCTATTTCTCAGGCGTTAAATATGCGAACCAGATGTCTCGTTTTTTTTCTTTTGAATCTTGTTGTATGCGGTTGTTTTAAGATCAGAGCACAAACTAATTGCTGCTTAATAACAGCAGGATATGCAGAATCACGACGGTTCGAATGACTGGTTCTAAGGCCCGTTGCCAA